TTACTGAAATCAAGATATGCTATGTCTACCATATTCCTTTCACCTACCAAGTTGGTAATTTTATCACTAAAAGAGATCAGATTAGTCTGGCATGACTTGTTTTTGAGAAACCCATGTTGACTTTTAGTGATTATGGTATTCCCTTCTAAATGTTCACAGACCCTCTGTTTAATGAACTGTTCTAGAATCTTTTCCGGTATTGATGTCAGACTAACTGGGCGATAGTTGTTGGGATCCTCTTTTTTCCCCTTTTTGAAGATGGGGACAATGTTTGCCCTCCTCCAGTCTGCTGGGACTTCTCCTGTTCTCCAGGAATTTCAAAGATTATTGCCATTGGCTCTGAGATTACATTTGCCGTTCTTTTAGTATCCTTGGATGTAGTTCATCTGGTTCTGGAGACTTACATTCATTTAGGTTAACCAGGTATTCCTGTACTTCCTCTTTACTTATTCTGTGCTGCATTTCCCCTATTGTGTCCTCTGCTCCATTTTCCTCAGGTTGAACACCCTTTTCCTTTTGTGAGAAGACTGAGGCAACGAAGGTTTTGAGTAGTTCTGCCTTTTCATTTCTCCATCTTCTCTGCGCAGTGGCCCTACCATTTCCTTCTTTCTTTTGCTATGGACATACCCAGAAAAGCCCTTTTTATTGTCCTTAACCCCTCTAGCAAGCCTGAGCTGATGTTGTGCTTTGTCTTTCCTGACTTTAGCCCTACATGTGCTAGCTATTTGTTTGAATTCCTTTTTAGTGATTTCGCCCTTTTTCCATTTCTTATACATCTCCTGTTTAAAACTTAGTTTAGTTGAAAGTTCTTTTCTTGAGACAGCTCCCATTTTTCCTTCTCAATTTTTCCTTGTCATTGCCTTTCTCTGAGGCTGAGAGAGTGTGACTTGCTTAAGGTCACCCAATGGAATTCTGCAGCTGAGCATGGATTTGAACATTGGTTTTCAGAGTCCTAGTCCATCCAACACTCAAACCACTACACCATACTGGCTCTCAAAATAAAGGCATGCTCAACAATAACTGGTCAATAGCAGTGTAGTCCCCATTAACCTTTGAGGATAAGGTGGCTGTGGAGTGGTAATTCAGACACAGGATTCCCAGTATGGTCTGTGCATTTCCATCACCGAGTCTTTGCCAAGTCTCTGACTGTTTTGCTGGTTTTGAGAACCTTTGTCCTGGCTTGGTTTGCAGCAAGCTCAGTCAGAGTAACAGCGAAATGGCAATAATCACAGGTCAGTGGCAGAGTCATGGGATAAATTGTGCTTTAGAAAACAGGACTAGCAGTTCTTCCCTCCAGAATTTTCTTCTAGGTTATGAACAAATGAGACTATATATATCAGATCTAAACATTCATGGCTTGTTAATGTTAGGCATACCTTCTTTTTCCCTCTAGTAATCTGTTTCGATGACTGTTTTGTTAACAAAATTCTGCCGTGAGTCTCAACCTGTATACTCGTATTGGTTTATATTGTATTTTCTTCATTTCACTTGATTTAAAACCTGAAAATAAACTCAGAGTGGCTTGTGTTAAAATCCTGTGCGCACTTATTGAACTCCATGGGGCTTTTCTCTGAGTAGGCGTATGCAAGATTGTAC